GTAAGCACATTTTGGTGCAGTTTCTTTTCATTGCTTTGTTCAGGTTCCTTTAATTTGCTGTATTTTTCTGGTTTTGAAGAATAGAGAAACTTTACTAAGAGCACTAAGAGCAGTAAGAAAGCATTCTTGTTGCAATTTTGCAATAGAAATGGATAATACAATGACGGCCATCCCGGTGCCCAGTACAGTGCCACTTGCTGCCAACCCATACAATAACAAATGTAAGACGCAGACTAGAAGTCATTAAATCCTCTGCTCCTAGAGTCACATGGCAAGATGGGAATTTCATTTTGCATTTTTATGCATTGCATGTGACTCCCTCATTTCCATGAAAATGCACAACAGTCCCATATGAGAAAAACAATTATGATGAAGGAACTCGCCAAGTAAATTTGTTATGCTGTAAGTCATGGATTTTCACCCAGCCTCCTTTCTCATGTGTTTAACTCCTTTCACTAAACAACCACCACTCACCAAGACTACTTCCACCTATTAGGGTGGGCATAAGAAATACTGAATTATAGGCTGTAATTCCTTACACACGTGGTGGCAGTAGAAAATTACAACAGCCTCTTCTGTGTTACAAAACGTGAACCTAAGAACGAGTGTGCTGTGATCTACTTTAGCAAACAAAGCTAATATTAAGCTTTCTAAGATTTCAGCTTTATTAACATTATTTAACTTCTCAGACCCTTAAAGGAGGTGTATTTGATGAACACAGCTGGGGGGACAGAATGGTTTTAGTTATAAAAGCCTGGTGTGGTAGGGAAAAGAAAAATTACAGGACAACGCCAATAACTGTACAGCTTGGGAAGAGCAGAAAATACGAGGCCAAGGTGGCCAATACCTTTTAACAGCTTAGATGCTAAGAGTGAGAGAGCATCAGTGATGGACATCACTGGAGAAGTTCCCAACTGCCAGTGGAAAGGGTTCGAACAACTGAAAAGAAATGAGGATAAAAGCATCCTGATGTCAATGAGAGCAAAAGTGCACCTAGATGGGAGCACGGGAACCCAGTGAAATGCTGGAATGACACATACTTACTGCCTTATCCAAACCAATGTTAATTGTTCTACTATATGCTAAAACTTTGCAGTAGGCACTCCTGAGGCTCCCCTTTCAGAAAAAAATAAAAGGACCAAACACCCATCTGCACAAAGGGTAGATGTGGATTTTGACCTTCAAACTGTGGACCAGATGTTGATAAAATAACATGAGTTTTAACTCAGCACACACCTTATTTTTCAAGATACAACTTTCAGAAACAAGCACTGGAACAGTTCCACTAAACACACACACTCTATATTGTTCCCACAGTCAGTTAATTATACAGCTTAGTGGAAAAACCTTGTTAATGTTATGCAGTTTACAGAAAGTATCCACATTTATCAGTGGAACAGTATCTTGTAAAAAACACTTGCCTGATTAGTTGCGTCTTCCCTTTTAGAGACGAAAGAAAGCTCTGAGTTACAAATTTTGGCCACTATCAACTGATCCTGCAGGAATCAAAAATGAATGTTCATAAGAATGAAGACAGAAACATCAGAAATTAGCAGGACAGAATCATAAAACATGGGTTATGCATGGGTTTTACTTTTTATTTACAGCAAATATATTACAGTAAAAAAAGCTTAACGTGGCTCATATTGTGGTTGTGTAAGAATGATACATATGCTTACATCAAACAGGTTTTATATCCTTGGCACTAACTGAACCAAATGCAAGGATTCAACACAAAAATAAGAAACAGAACATTTATTAGGCAAACTCTACATTAACTGTACACATCTGCGACTGGGGTTTCAATGCAATCCGAAGAATACAAACAAGCCATCAGGATGGCAAGAACTTTTTCTATGAACACGTCTAACCCTCAAGACAAGGCTGTCTGACACCATTTAAGAGTTGCTGTACCGAACACAGTGATTTTAAAGAAATGTCATAGATGATTAAGACACTGAAAATGCACTCACCACAGTGAAGAATCTCATTATTTTCCTTATTTCTTTTATTTTTTTACTCCCACAATACAAGAGTGTTAAAAGGCTGCACGGCAAACAAGCTGGATTCAACAGCTGGAGGGTTTTGCCTGTCAAGCAAAGTGACTTGCAGCAAGAGATGTTTTATGCAACAAAACCTATGATACACAGCTTGTGTGGGTTCAAATAAGAAGATCTAAGAACAACAAATGTTGAAGCCTTATAAGCTCTCTTAATTATAATCAGAATCCTGAGAAAAGCAGGGTCCAAATTACTCCAAGTGAATTTAGGCTCACTTACATACAACACAATTGTCCAGATACAGCAACAGTAGTAAACAGAGTTAATGCAGTGTTAATCTTTTTTACGTTTTAATGACTAGCTATAAAAACAGAAACTAGCATGTTCTAATCTGTTTACATTTCCTGAGCTTAGTTAAATCAAGAAGGAATGAACATTATAAAAATCCCGGTAAGTCACCAATAAATTAAAAATGTACATAACCACTATAGCTTAAGAAGCCTTAACAATGCTCAGAGTGAAGTCTGCCTATCTGACACCACAGCCTTTCCTTTAGGACTCCTGTACAGAAACCATGCCATTAACTTCCCCAGCAATACTGAGATGCTATAGAATTGTAGGGTTTTTTGGTTTTTTCTTCTGCTCTCCAATTGGTGTTGTAGCAGTCTATGTAATAGCTTTTCCTCACCAAATCACATGAGAGCATTCAAAACCTGCAATCCTCTACTTCCAGTGCAGGAAACAATGTTCTCAGAAACACAGTGTGCTACTGAAACTCAAATTTACTAGCAGCAGTTATTTGGGTGGACTCTCAGCTCCTGCACATAACACCACTACATTGGCAGCAGGTTTAGTACCCTTTGGGGGAACAAACCAATGAAAACCTACCCAGAAGGCTGGAGGAAAGACCCTTAGCCATAAAAAATTAATCTTAGCGGTTTCTTTAAGAGCCAACATCATGCATTTGAGAAAAGCACTGGAGCTACGTGAGTCATACACATGTTTATTTATGCATGTTTATTTCCTGCATAGAGAATAATGTGTACCTTGGAATAAAACCCAAGCTTTGAGAATACACTGAGAGTATGGGTATTTGTAATAGTGCTACTAGGAGATTAATTCAAGCCCAAATGCTCAAGCTCAACTGTCTCAAAAACTTGCAGAGCATGAACTTTGAGAAAACAAACTACTTTTTAAAAAATTGTCTGCTTAGAGAATGATTTTGAATTTAGGGTGTAGATAAAAGAGAGGTAGAAAGGTTTATCTCCTCAATATAATTTTCTGTGCAGTATTTATAAAGTATCAGAAAAAATCTATAGCTTTTTGGTGAAAATGCCAGTTTTTCCCCTAAGAATTATACGGAATCTCTTCTTTCCACTGAATTGCTGCAAACTAAGTAACTGAAATCGGGTTCAGAAGAGCTCTTCTTCCCTTTAGCCTCACTACATCATTTTTGTTACCATGTTCTGCTTTTAAGAAGTCATTGCAGAAATACAGCTATACAAGGCTCAAAAATGAAACTCAAATTTACTAGCAGCAGTTATTTGGGTGGACTCTCAGCTCCTGCACATAACACCACTACATTGGCAGCAGGTTTAGGCTCAAATTACATGATCCCTCTTATGCATGCTACTGAGAGGGAGAAGAGGTATGGAAGGCCATATGGCGCTTCCCCTCTTTGGTGATGACCACGGGTATGAGCATCATCGTCACTCCCGCTGGCAGTACCTAGAGAGCTTCCCAAGGCAGCTTCTTTTCCTGCATGATCCACCCTCCGCAGCGGGAGGAGGGATGGTGCTTTAGTGATGAGCGCTCCTCAAAAACGGCAGGAAGGACGAGCTAACCAGGAGAGACAGCTTAACAGAAACCACGCTGGTAAGATAAACATCCATGTTTCCCTAGTGTAGGACAAGCCTACAGCGCTACAGCTTTCATGATTGTCACTAGGCATGGGAGAGAGATGAAAACATCTGAACTCCTGCAGCTGCAGTCATCAAGACCAGAGCACAGTGCATTTCCCACTGAGCTGAGAGCCTTGGACCCAGCAGTACCAGGGAAAGGCAGGTCAGAGGGGACAGAGTGGAATATGGCAACAGGGGCTCCACCCCTGACCCCTGCTCCCACGGCACTGTGAGACCTGACATATCTGGATGGGAAGGACCTGCCTGGTGACACTTTGGGGGGCACAGGGCTGGAGCTCCACCATTATTCACATCGCAGCAACTGTTCAAGGGTGGGATTTGAGCCATGAAAGTCAGACTGCTGCATGGTGACCTTTAATTTACCCATAGAAAGTTAAATAAATTACATTAAATTAAATTCAGCCAAAGCAGATGCTCACTTATTTATTAAAAAGCTCAGCTTTTTCTTTCTTTCAACTGGTTTTAGAGACAGGCAGCTCTCGGGAGCAGACCTTCACTCTAACTCAGTTGGAAAAGAGCACCTCCATAGAGATGGCCAGAGTTCCTCTCCTGCAGCAATACCTGGCTGTCCCTCGGGATGCTCAGCAAAGGCACCTGAGCACAGCATCGCTGCCTGCTTGCTCCCTACACTTCTTGACTCACCCAGGACTTCTCCCTCCTTCCACATAAACCACATCCAACTTGCAGTGGAAGATGATTCTTTGCTGACAACATTGCCTTCTATTGTCATACCTTTTAAGAACTCTATGAATTGATTAATATACAGAATTATTTACTTCTTTTCAGAGAAACAGATACTGCCCTGCAAATATATAACTTGTCATGAATGTTTGATAGGTTTGGGTAAGGAGGCTTGTATACAATAACAGGGTCACATTTACAGTACAGGTTGGAAAAGTTTTCTTTCTTCTGGTTGTAGCATTATGAGACAACTAATGCTACTGTACTCAATCAACAGGCACGCTTCTCATTTTTACCCGTCCTTCTATCTGTCCTTTTATCTGCTCCCTTTCAACAGCCTGCCTAAAAGCAGAGCCACATAAATAAGAGATGTGTTGCTTTCAGACACACATACACAGTCTATTTTGTCTCTTTTCTTTTGTTCTCTGGAAACATTATCCCATGAATTTCACCCTCAAACCATGATACACCAAAATAAAAAAAAATTCAAGTACAAACCCAAACGTTATTGCTGGGTTATGGGCCAATGTAAACTGACCAGAGTCAATGCCAACCTAAAATTCGCTTTACAAAAGTAAGGATTGTTCGATAACATTTTGCTGACCATAGACAGCTTCTTTCACTATTCATACAGTTTGAAGACTGAAGATTTGCTGGGAACAAGACACAGTCCATGTCCTTTGGAAGTAAATGGAACTAATAGCCATCATCATCATCCATATCACAGCCATAATCTGAAACACACAAAGATAAAGGCATATAAAAATGCAAATATTCCAGGTACATGGAAGATACAGCAAAAGTATTACTGCTTTCAGGTTGTTTTCCTGCTGTATAACTAGGTGGTAAGTTTTGACAGAAACAAGAATATTTTTTTAAAAAATATTTTCTTAGAGCTAAATAAAAAGTTCTTGCATGTACCTTCCTCAATGAAATAAAATTACTTGTGTGTATGTGTAAATATCTCTTCTCATTTGTCATCGGACCCTCCTTTAGGAATACTTGGCACATGGATATGTGAAATACTTGGTTTAATGTAGAGGTTAAGGTGATCAAGCCTGATTGTCAGAAGTAATTTGGAACAGGGTGGCTGATAAGCAGCAGCATACATTTACAAGTAGGCACGGTTCTCACTAGACACAGCCACCAAGAAAAAAGCTGGCTTGCTTGTATTATTCATGGATTTATAAACTGAAACTGCAAGGGTTCAGAGATAGCTCAGCGTTCCCATCAACATCAAAGGAGTCATGCAACAAATCCTGACCAATGCATCTGACTCACATCTCCTGTATCTCCTTACTCCTAGAGCAACAACTTAAAATTTTGCCCAGTTTTTTTTACCCAGTTTTGTTTTCTTAAACAACGCCGAGTGCAAAGACTGTGTGATGTGCGGGTCAGAAGGCATGTCTGTGTGTTTCTAATGCACCAATTCCTCTTCTGTGTGCTTCCCAGTGCAGTGAAACAGATATTCTCTGTTGCGTAGTCGAACCTAAGGATAACTATTACACATGAGCATTGTATTGTTAACCTTTATATTCCACATTCAATACGGTGCAATATTTCATCCAAAGAGTCAAGCAAATGCTCGGAAGCAGAATTAAGTGTAATTTATAATAATTTGTGTAGAATGGGTGAAGTTTACCATCTGTAATTCCTGCAGTTGCTCCAGGCAGACAGGTCTAAAACCCATGAACAAAGCAGTTAGAAGGAGTTGTTTGTTCTGCTGAGCAGCTCTGCACACCTGCATTTGAATTCTGGGAATACTCCTTTCCTTTTTATTTTTTTTTTTTTAAACTCTGATTTTTCAGCTGTTGTCCAGACCAGACAGGGAGCAGCGGAATGTTCTCAGAATGGTTTAAAAATAGTAACATTTACAAAGAAAAAAAGCTCAGTGACCTTTATTCTATTTTTGTGGGGGGTTTATTAATAAACATAGACCCGCCCTCCCCCACATGGGTGCCTTTTCTTGGGAACATTATTCTAATAATAAATGCAGGCAACAAACTGTTTTTCCTATGGTTCAGCAATTATTTTCCAGTGGAGAAATCAATTTAAAAGCACAGACAGTTTTGTGAAATGTATACATAACGTCCATGAAAGCTAAATTAATAGTACTGGAAAGATTTTTGCAGTAAATAACATTTCAGTAGGAAACTTATTCCCATCTCACTTTTTCACAACCCATAATTAGCAGCTCTCATTTTAAAAAATATTTCTGTATATTTTCAAAGCTTAACTTCTAAGGGGAAGTTTTCAATAAAGGATAAATGTGGATGTGTCCAGCTAGGAAAAAAATACACAGTGGAGAGGATACTGCCTTTTCCTGCCAGCAAGGAGACCTTATTAAATGAGTGGCTTTGCTGGGTAACCCAAAGAACTGAGCACACATCTGTGTACCATACAGCATGCTGTACGCTATCAGTGCAATTTCTGTACTTGGTGAAGAACTCTTTCCTCCTAACACTTTCCCCAGAAATGGAGCGTGACGATTCATTTTGTTCTGAGCCGGACAGCCATGTCCCCAGGGCTCACGGAGAGCCTGGACGTCGCTGCAGCCCCAAGGGTGGCTTGGATCAGGAGGCAACGAGCCCCAAGCACTGCTAACAGAGGGGTTACTGACCCTGCAATTCCTCCGATCCCCATTAATAAACCTAATTCTGAAGAAGGCGTACCATCAGTTTGTTCTTGAGAAGCTCTCTTAGCCTACAGCTCGAGATGCAAAGATTTCTTGGGAGGGGTCTCTAAGAGGGTGAGCTTTTGGACAAGGGTGACTCCGGGCTTTCCCACAGGAACGGGCAATGCTGGAAAGGCAGCAGGAGCTCTGCACGGGACGAGCTGCGGGAGGGCAGGGACAAGCAGGGGAACCCTCTCTGTCCTCAGCCTTGCAACAACAATCCCCACAGCACCAGCAGAGGGTAATTTAGACTGCGTCCCAGCTTACCGTTCCCTCCCATTAACTGCAGGGCGCTCATGCAGTGATCGTCATCTTCTTCTATTTCTTCCTCTTCCACCTCTTCGTCAGCGTTATAAGCTACTGGGCCACTCTCCACTAGCACAGATGCTGTTTTTTCTAAGTTAGGGGCTTCTGCTTGTGCATTTGGAAAGGTCACCTGCAAAAAACAAGAGGGGACAGTAGAGCAGCCTTTCCTTTTGCTCAGCATTTGTACAAAACATCAGCAGCTCCCAAATGAGAGGGACAGGAGAGCTGGAAAGCCCACGTCCAGTGCTAGAGGCTTAGCTCTTCCAGGGGACGTGCAAATTGCCCAGTGAAATGTTGCCCAAAAGAAAGTCGGGCACAAACATCCAAAGTTTTCACATAATTCAGAGCCAGGTAACTGACATATCCAGAGATGGTAGCAGCAGAACAAAGATCCTCTTGCAAGCACATGGTAAGGAGAAATTTGGGAGTGAAGGCTCCTCAGCAGAGCTCTGTGGGAAAACTTACAACCTTTTCCTCATTGTGTTCAACTCACATCAGGCCTATTACACAATAACAACGTTATTGACACTTTAATGATAGCAAAAATGTACCCTTCAAGTGAGAAAAAACCCAACATGTATTAGTTTTGACAGCTCTGGTTGGATTTATCTGGAGGCACAATGAGCTGTGGAACAAATAGCACTCTTTAGACAGCACTTAATGTGATGGCAGAGCACTAGGCTGATAATACACACCAGCACCTGTAACATTACCTATGAAATTCATCAGAATAATGATTCCCAAACACTAACTTGGGAACTGATCACTGACAGGACCCATTCCCTATGCGCACCTCCCCAGGGTTAGGCAGGATGCAGCAGGGAGGGAGAGAAAGGGCAGCACCAGGAGATGGAGGTGAATTTGGAGGTGAAGGTAACACTGTGTTCAGTTCGCCAATGACAGATCCGGAACGGGGCAGGAACCGGCCATGTAGCCTGCCCCAGCACAGCCCGGGCTCTGTCCCTGGAGGTCTCATTTCCATGGTCTAGGGTTCCACCTCCCTCTCTCATCCAGGGAAGAAACATCACAGGAGCTTTATCTCCACTAGCCTTGTAACAGGGCACTCTTCACCTTCATTCAGTACTTGGACTATTTGAGGTTTGCACACTAGAACTTGTGGCCCAAAAAGGACGTTCCCTTAGTGGTAACCGTTAAAGATTCACCATTAACGCTGCTTTGTCATGTAAAGCAGTTTTGACAATGGGAATGCTTAACTGCCTGTCACTAGCCAGCAGTTATCAGCACTGAGTCATCATCTCCCCTCCCAGGAAAGAGGAAAAGACTGGGACTGCTGGCTTGGGAAGGACAGTGGTAAGGTGCTCCTGACAATGAATGGTCCAAAGAGACCAGGAAACCTCAGGTCCTCTGGTCCCTTCCACAAGAAAAGTCCTACAGTGCTTTAGGTTTCAAATCACAGTGCACAACTACGTACTACTCCATCTTCTCCAGCTCCATTGGTAGTAAGTTCTGATTTGGCATCATAAATAAATAAATAAAAATAAAGTACAACTGTGTTTACTTGGGATGCAGTAACTCCCAGTATCCCTGTAACACCAGGCACTTGACAGATACACCATAAGAGAAAGTCCCAGAAAATTGATAGTCTAATTATTCAAACAGCAAAGCTGTTCCTTAACTTGTCATACCCCATGCCAGTCAACCTAAAGAATCTGCCTAAGTTTTTCAAAGTCACCTAAGGGTTTGCTCCAATAGCTCATTAATAGGGCAAAAGATACTCATTAATTTTAATAGAAAATCAAGTATTTAGGTATTCAGATCACTCAAAGACAGCTTTTCATTATTTTTTAATGCTCAAATTAATCATATTATTTGGAGGAATTTCCCTGCAGTTTATTTTATATTTCCTGCCACTGCTTTTGCCTCTAGAGTGATCAAATTGAGTCCATCTAGGTTTTCAGTACAAGCAGAAACACACACAACAGTTTGAGATGCATCAGCATCACAATATATATCAATTTATATGCTTGAAAGTATCCATCTGCTCTGAAAAAGTGGGTGAATATAAAGGAGCTACAATTGAGTCATTATTTTTTAAAATTGCAGCATGCTAATTAAAATGTGACCTTCTTCTAATTACCATGTCCACTTCCAGACTGCTATACTTCTAAAAATGTGTGGAGTTTTCTAATGAGCATAGCATAAGAAGTGAAAATGTATTTCCCCAGGCAGGATATCAAACTGTTTCTGAAAATCAATGGGTTTTAGTCATCTTAAAAATAAGTCAGTCAAACAACGCCTTTAAATAGAACTTCCTGAATTCATTTCCAGACATCCTGGACTTCTGTTTGACATATATCTTTATGTATGGATGGGCAACTGTCAAGGCATATTAAGCTACCCAAGGTAACTGGTTCACTTTCAAAAGGGTGCCAGTGCCACACGTTCATGGGAAAAACAAGGAGGACAAACACCTTTGGTATATTAAGAACAGAATGTTTAGGTACGCAGTAGACAGTTATTTTATCATATGCAAAATGCAGATGTCTACTTCGCACAGTGTGAGTATAATAGTGAAAGAAAGTAGGTATCACTGTGACTGATAATAATCATGATCCCTTTGGCAGAAGACGCACGTGCACAAAGCCACCCAAGGAGGGTTTCTGGCGGTGACCAGTTATTAGCACTAACTTTTCTATGGCACTATCTTATTTTCAAACTAAACAAACGAACCAAAGAGTCAGTAAGCCACGCTATATAGGGTAAGCTGTCACTTTGTGTTCCCTGACTGGTCTCCCTGCTGAAGCCCAGCCCTTCCCTTGGGTCAGAGCTGGCTGCACAGAAGTGGTGTTTTGCGTTGTCCCCCATCTCTGCAGGGATGGTCCAAGTGCTGAGAAACAGCCACAAGCTCTGCCCTCTCCTATTCCTTCTACCCACTTGTGTGATATGTACCTTTTTAGATGCTTGTAGGGTGTTTTGTCTTTTTTCCTGTCTAACCAGGGATTATGAGGCTGTGCTAAGGTTTCTGATGGATAAAATACGGGCAAATCTCGGTTAGAAACAGGCAAACTCAGCTTTGCAGTGTTTGCAGCAACCAGCTCCTGGTGTGATCAGACAAAACTCTTAATTTCTTTTGCCCACATTTACCACATAACTAGTGCCAGGCTGAGAAAGGCTTGTGGGAATTTCCAAACTCAAACTGACTGTTGTACCAGGAGAAGTGCTGGACTTTACATACCTCTTCAGTGGCAGCCTTTTTAGCAAGCTGTGTCGAAATCAAGGGTCTTAATCTGCAAAGAAGGAAAGAAGAAATGGTGAACATCATAAAAGTGACACCACGCACAAAAGAATTCAACACAGACTATTCACTCTCCAAACAGTGAAAGCACTTTGCTAGCGTTCTGTTGTGCAATTACTTTTTAAAAGATATAACATAAAGAGCAGAGAGCCACAGACTCCACAATAATTAATACACACATTCCCTTGTAAACATCTGCCCCACTTCAGGACCGTAAGAAAAGATGCCAGTCAAGATGCACAGGAGCAAAACCTCATCTCAAACTGCAGCCCCAGCTCAGCCCGAAGGTCTTTGAAACAGATGGTTTTGTCGCATATTACAAAAGTCAAAAGACTCAACTGATTTTTTTGGAATAACGCAGGCATGGCAAAAACGAGCCACACTCTGAATTACTCAGCACCCAAAAGACTCAACTGATTTTTTTGGAATAATGCAGGAATGGCAAAAACGAGCCACACTGAATTACTCAGCATTGTTCTGCAACCACTTCCCTGTATTTGATGATATACGCAGGATACCAATAAGATTATACACACAGGATATCATAATCATCACAGATGAAATTCTAACCTCCAGCTATAGAAATCATCGTAAAAAAAACAAGGGGACCCTGCATACCTTGAATGAGAAATTACAGAAATAGAACATGAACATTTTTAAAAATTCTGCATCAAATATAAAAGACCTGCGTATTTCAGCAGAAAAAATGGATCAGTATTAACTCTACAGCTAAGTGTTAAAAATTGTTCTTTCTGAAAAACATTTCATAGCCTGTTGTCTCCTTAATGTCAGGAAGGCTGTTCTCAATCCATCATTTAGTGCTGCTTTCTGGTCTCTCCTCCTCATCTAGATGTATCTAGTCACGAAGAGGATGACTTGCTTTCTACTGAAACAGTGCTCAGACAGCTCCTCAAGTACGTCTTTTCACTAAGTCTAGGCAAACAACTTAATGAATACCAATTTATGTCTCCAGAGATATAGTCTTTTATGATAAGCAGTATCTTTCCTCTCATTTTTCTATTAGTCATTTCCCCTTTATTTATTTATTTATTTCAAATAATCAGCAGGAGGAAACAAAACCCCAGAGAATGAGCGGGGGAGACTCAGATCATTATCTGATGAAGAAGACATCATTAAAATACAAGATATTGGCTAAGCTCCAAAAGACATTCTGAAAAGAGTCATCTCTGAAATGTTTCACAAGACCCAAAAAGCATTTGGGCAACCAAGGTAGTCCAGGGTGACTCCTTACCGTAGATCTAAACACAAAGATGCCACAGGAATGTTTCAGGAGCTGTACCACTGAAGGATCCAGAGCACATTATTCTGCTAAACGTATGTCTTGTCATATTTCGTAATTATAAAAAAAATCGAGATACTCTTGACCTACATAAACTATAATTTTACAAATCCTGGTGGACTTCAGGGCCTGGAGAGAGTGTATTTGAAGACATGGACGCACTCCTCCCTAAGTGCCTGGACTTTTCTTTATCTAGCCTGAATCGTATAGTTTTCACAGAATCATAGAATGGTTTGGGTTGGAAGGGACCTTTGAAGGCAATCTAGTCAAACCCCCTTGCAATGAGCAGGGACATCAACTAGATCAGGTTGCTCAAAGCCCTGTCCAGACTGACCTTGAATATTTCCAGGGATGGAGCATCTACAACCTCTCTGTGCAACATCTTCCAGTGTTTCAACACCCTTATCATAAAAAAATTCTTCCTTATTTCCTAAAATTGGAGACTACCTACCTGCTGTAAATCACTGTTTTCCAAAAGCCACCCTGTTTAGATGCTTACAAACATACGGATACAGCAATGTCAAAAGGTTATATCGCTGAAGGATGCTAATTACCAAACAGGTTGTATTTCATTGACACGACTGAAAAAAAAGCCCAACAGGGGCAAGAAATGAAGGACCTTTATTTTAAACCAGTAGCAGTGATTATTGCAATTAACATTGTACCAAAGATAGCACCTATTTCCTCCTGCTACCAAAAGACATCAGACCTCCCCAGAGCACCCTGAAATCTTTCCTCCCCCCAATTAAAATCAAGCTGTTGAGTAAGACTCACAAGGTAATCAGAAACTGCTGACATTTCTTTCCGAGCAAATTATACATGTGCTCACAGAGTGAAAAAAACAATCACAGCTATAGGAAGCAAAGAGTAAACATTCCAGTTTCATTTTAATTAAAATGGTCCCCTAATGAAAATAAAAAGAATCAAGCTTATGAAAAGCCTATTTGCAAACTTCACTGCTAAATCCAAGAGCCCTTCTATGCTATTTTTCAGCAGCTCGTGACTCTCACACCCAAACTGAAATTAAAATTGTATTTCTGTTCCATGATAATTGCTCGCACAAAACTTCCTCACTTTGCTACTAGAAATACAGAGCTGCCATTCAATTTGGGCAGTACAGTTTCTCTCTCAGCGTGATATCTAATGCACCCAAAAGCAGCGGGTCAGATCCTGCTCTGGCTGCTCAGCACCTGCTGCAGTGCGGATCCGAAGGGGTCACTCGCCGTGCGGGCTGGACAGCCCAGCTCTCTGCTGTTCGTACTACGAACGCTAGTGATGGAAACTGAAAAAAAGGTAAAGCCATCGCAAAGAGAGACAAAAACTTATTTCCCCCTCGAAATAATGTCTTTGATTAAAATTATATAAAAAGTTATAAAAGTTATAAATATATAAAAAGATAAGTTATTTTCTCTCCCTTGGCTCTCCTTATGCCTATAGAAAACACTACTATTACTGTACAAAACTATTTAGGAAGGTTTTCTAGTGGGGTTTTGTTTTGTTTCTTAAATGCCTCGATGCCCTGACCTCCTTAAACCAGAGCAGCTGCTGCCACACCAGCCATATGGAGCAATAAA